CAAATTCAAAAGAATGAAATCAGTCTCAAGTGATTTGTTATAAAGAGGAAATGCACAGACAACATACTTAAAATATCTACAAGGACAATTTCCCTCCTCCGATGAGCATGACACTCACAATGGGATTTCCAGTCATGATCCCATTTTTCGAGATCACCCCATGTTGATGTCTTAGTGGAACACTGAAAGAAACTAGAAAACATTGATTCATATACCTCCTCCCAATTTTTCTCCTCTAATTCTTTCCTGCGCCTATAGTTTTGGCTCTGAAGGTATTCTGCAAGCCTTTGTACTTGAGGATCGATGGGTTCAGGTTCTTCTTCAGGGTTCGTTTGTTGCATATCAATGTTTGTGGAAAGGTCCGGTGGATTGTCATGGTCTAGGTTTGTTTGCTGAGTTGGAGTGACCGATTGGCCACTAGGAAGTTGGTTGTTGGCTTGAAGAAACTGTTGACTGGATCGATTGGTCTCATTCAGAAAAATCGCTCCCTTGTTTGTTTTGGGTCGTTTGATTTTGGGTGGCTTCTTACCACCCTCCCCTCTGAATCCTCTCATCAAACCGGTTTTGAATAGCTTGATCCTATTTGCTTCATTCCATTGATAATCAAAAGTTTTGAAATGTTAAATCAATATTGTTATAATCTACAACAGCATCAGGCAACAGTCATAGTTGGATATTCCTAACAAGCCAATAAGGATAACTGACCAAGCCTCTATGTAAAACCAGCCTCTATGGAAATCTGAAAAACGGACCAATCCACAATGGAAAACCAACTGAGCCTCTATGGAAAATCGGACAGAGCCTCTTTGTAAAACCCAAACCAGCCTCTGGAAAAACAGACCAATCCTCTAGGTAAAAACTGACCGAGCCTCTGTGTAAAAACCGACCAAGCCTCCGGAAAAACAGACCTATCCTCTATGGAAAAACGGACAGAGCCTCTTTGTAAAACCCAACAGAGCCTCTGGGAGAACAGACCAATCCTCTATGTAAAAACTGACCAAGCCTCTGTGTAAAAACCGACCAAGCCTCTGGAAAAACTGACCGATCCTGTATGGAAAACCAACTGAGCCTCTATGGAAATACGGACGGAGCCTCTTTGTAAAACCCAACAGATCCTCTGGAAAAACAGACCGATCCTCTATGTAAAAACTGACCGAGCCTCTGTGTAAAAACCGACTGCCTCTGGAAAAACGGACCGATCCTGTATGGAAAACCAACTGAGCCTCTATGGAAATACGGACGGAGCCTCTTTGTAAAACCCAACAGATCCTCTGGAAAAACAGACCGATCCTCTATGTAAAAACTGACCGAGCCTCTGTGTAAAAACCGACTGCCTCTGGAAAAACGGACCAATCCTGTATGGATAACTGACTGAGCCTCTGTGGAAAGACAAACAGACCCTCTGGAAAAACAGACCGATCCTCTATGTAAAAACTGACTGAGCCTCTGTGTAAAAACCGACTGCCTCTGGAAAAACAGACCGATCCTGTATGGAAAACCAACTGAGCCTCTATGGAAAAACGGACGGAGCCTCTTTGTAAAACCCAACAGACCCTCTGGAAAAACAGACCGATCCTCTATGTAAAAACTGACCGAGCCTCTGTGTAAAAACCGACCGCCTCTGGAAAAACGGACCTCCTCTATGGAAAACCAACTGAGCCTCTATGGAAAGACAGACAGAGCCTCTTTGTAAAACCCAAACCAGCCTCTGGAAAAACGGACAGATCCTCTATGTAAAAACCGACCCTGAAGTTCAAGTCACCCCTATTGTGTTTAATATGCATGTGACTCATCTACATATGTCTAGAGATAAAAAGCCAGATGACTCACTTTGATCAAATTTGTTAATAGTTCACCTTGGGCTTTAAAAATGTGTTGGTCTGGTCGAGGGTATCACTAACAGTGTGTTGGTCTGGGCGATGTGTTGGTCTGGTCAATGTGTTGGTCTGGTTGATGTGTTGGTCTGGTCAATGTGTTGGTCTGGTCGATGTTTTGGTCTGGTCAAGGTTATCACTAACAGTGTTTTGGTCTGGCTGAAGTTATCACTAACAGTGTGTTGTTCCGGTCAAAGTTGTTATTATCTCACATTTGTGCAATACAATTTTGACTTTGAATTGTACAACTTGTGCATGTGGATCCCCCACCCTGATCTTGACACAAGTCAGTTGTCCCAATCATGGTACAGTGTGCAAAACCAGTGCTTGACCACACCTCTCCTGCAAAAAAGCTGATTGTTCACTTGTAATATTCATGCTACAAACATGTAATATGCATCTAAAGACTCTCAATCAAATGAGTAACAAGAAAATATGAAGTATGTACATGTCTTTAAGAAGCCTCAAAAAGTTATTTCAACTAGTTATATGCAATTTTTGGCAATCCAATACTTATTTTCTTTCAACAAAGGTGGTAGTATCTTTTGATATACCTTAAATGTATATCAAAAGAACAATAGTAAATAAACAGCTCAAATTTGTTTTCTTTTTGCAGGAGAGGTGTACTCAAGAACTCTTGTTGCACACTGTCCAGGGGCCCAACCCACATTGACCAGTAGGGTTATCTGTGTTTGATGGGAATACTATGCTGTGTCTTTCCTGATATATGCCACAAGATCTACGTCATCCATCTTGAATATCTCCTTGATCATTTTGATCCTGATGTTTCCAAATGCCTGATCAGTTGCCAGGCAATAAACTCAAGCTAAGGCATAAGCCACAAAAGTGTTGGCAACATCTCAAGATAGGATGGGCTATCTGTGTTTGATGGGAATGCTATGTGGTGTCTTTCCTGATATATGCCACAAGATCTACGTCATCCATCTTGAATATCTCCTTGATCATTTTGATCCTGATGTCTCCAAATGCCTGATCAGTTGCCAGGCAATAAAATCAAGCTAAGGCATAAGCCACAAAAGTGTTGGCAACACCTCAAGATAGGATGTGTACAACTGAGCAATTGTTAAAAAGTTTACTTGCAGGCACCCTCAGATTAGGCTTTTTGGTCATTTGCCAAACCACATGACAAGTAATTGGACCCAATGAAGTTAATTATAAAAAATGCTAAATACTGCCCACTGTTCATGCAAATGCTATTCAATGGGGTCCTTTGTTGAATATTCATAACAATTTACATAGGTGTGTGGCCATTGCGCTCCAAGTTGGATTACCAAAAGTCCAATATTTACAGTGATGTTTTTATGCAACCATTCACAGTCCATACACCAGGGTGGATCTATTCTCCCATAATTTAATCAAACCAATTGTAGGGTACTATCAGAACTCACTACTGGCCCAAATCCAAACATGTTTCATGGTTATAACTTTTTTGAGGTGATTACAGTGTCAATTATTTATGATTAATACCAGATCAAATTCTTCAATTTGATTGGATTTTCCTATTGTTGATCCAATCAATGTGTGCATGTGATTAACTTAGTGATTGGAAAATATTTCCATTTTATGTTTAATTATTCAATATGTGTGGCCACAGGCTTCCCTAGGAGAAAGTGTAGGTTACTTCTGAAATGCCAGTTGCATACTTCATAGGGAACAAAAATTTAATTTCTCTCAAGTCATCTTACCAAAGTCATTTCCAGTCATTACCATAAGAGTGCAGACTGGCTGGGTCAGGTCTCTCCACCTTCTGTCAAGTTATGTATAGAAGGCAAAAAAGATGCATTCTATACATTCAGTGAGGACTTAATGGTTGAGAAAATCACATGGGACTCACTGAAATTGCTTGTTGGTCATTTGATTGACCACATGACAAGTAATTGGATGCAATTAAATCAATGGCAAAAAATAAGAAATCCTGTGAACAGTTCATGATACTGCTATCCACTGGGACCCCCAGTTGAATAGCCCCCACAAATGACACAAATGGCTGCCCTGCCATTTGGGCCTGCATTTGGATTACCCAACCTAGTACATTTCCAGTGATGTTTACTGCTCTCTGATGGAGCACTAGCAACATTTTATACTATTCACCATTGGGCTTTGGGTGTATTATGAAACATTCATAGTAATGTGTTTATGAGTTCAAACAAATTCCATTTGTGTCAGATTCTGCATAGAAGGCAGAATCATTTATATTCACACATACACAATGATTTATATGTGGCATACACAATTCTTCAGCCCATAATTAATGGTGATCAGGCAGTTGAACATAACCTGACTTGCATGATTTGGATTGATTATCTGTATCCATTCCTACACAGCCATTGTATTTATATTTACTGGTTCAGTTTGGCAGGTGTAAAATGTCAAGTACTACAACCTTCTGCTTTAAACTTTCATCATAAACATCATAAATGGGAATTTTAATTCAGTTCTTTTCTACTGTTTTACTTTGGGAATTTCAGTCACAACTTGATGGCACCATTCATTTGGCCTTGAATTTTGTAACAATAACCAATCAGTTTCTGGAATCCAGCCGCAGTGGCCAAATAGATAAATGTTGAACAGACTACGTAAGTTATTCCTCCTGTGTTTTCAAGATACCTGGACTGAATTGGGTGATTAAATCCCAATCAGGCATTGTCAGTCAGCCTGTTTCAGTCCAAGACCCCCTTGTTTCATTTATGATGATCCAGGTGTGAGTACACAGCTTGGGAAACTTAAGGGATTCCCACTCACTGAGCAACCAAAATCTCACCAGATCCAAACACTTGCACCATGGGGGGCAAGGCTTAGCAAATTTGACCTCACTGGGTTGGCCAACTTAGTGCATGTCCCCACTTTCAGTGGGCTGGAGATTGCTGCCCAGGGGCCCAGAGCCTGACCGAGGGACTTAGCTAAAGCTTGCTGGGGCTAAGTGTCCTGGGCCACTCACTCAAACCAATTGAATCGCACCAGTGGCACACCGTACATTCTTCAACCTTCTCAAAAGCACCTGAACTCCACTATACATTCTTCAACCTTCTCACAAGCTCGACTTCAAATGAAACAATAAAACAATCTCATGTAAGTGCCCCTTCACCACACATTCCGTAATTAGCTATGTACATCTCCAGGTATAACCCACCGGCACAGATTCTGGCACTGCAGCCCCCACAACCCAGGCACTCCGCCAACCAAACCAACTGGCAGCCATCGGATTCCGTCTCACCTGTTCAGACTCCCCACTCAAACC